TCAATCATCAATTAAGAGTATAAACTTTCGAATGAACGAAAAATAAACATGTCGGTGAGATCAATATGTCAGCCGACTTGCTAATAAACTCCCTTTGGCAAAATATTTCGACCAACGCGTTGGTAGAGTGTCGGCCGATGCATTGACAATTTGCCGACCAACGCGTCGGTAGTGTGTCGGTGATGTGTCGGTGGTGTGTCGACCAACGCGTCGGTGATGTGTCAGCCGACGCATCGGTGGGATCGCATTCTTTACCTTTACCAGAAATTGTTTGCAAAAAAAATGTTTTTCAGTCCAAAATCAGTAAGTAGCCAGGCCTCCAGCTTACAGCCAGGCCTCTGGCTAGTTTCCAGTTCCTACAGTTGGACAGTTCAAATTAACAGAAATCTCTGTAACAGCCTTTTAACTCATCTTTCCATTTGCACAGTTACAAGGGTGCAATTTAGGAAGACAGCTGAATTTATAAACAAACTTGTCTATGACCAAACAAAAAGATGGCGTATAATAATACCCATTTACTTATTACAGTAAGTTGTTTTGATAGAGTGATTCACCCAAGGAACAATTCCTCCAAATCTGTAAAACATACCGATTCAAATGCCATCTTCATCCAAAAGGTGTAATTTCCATAACGCCTGTCTTTAGATGGCATTCTCATCAGCTTAGCACGCGATTTCCCTGACATACTGAATGTTGGTGCCTTTATGTCTACACAGTCTTTAATCCAGGGATCATGAGGATTCTGCTGTCTGTGTACTTTAATGTAGTCCAGTATCCACAGAGGGAAGCAATCTGCTCCTCCTTCTTGAACCAGTTCCGTGTTGTCACTCAGAACTTTGCATAGTCGGCAAGCGTACTTGATGAAGTTTGACCAGCTGCTTAACAACATCTCTGTGAATTCATAGTCTGGAATAACCTCACCCTACAAAGGAAAAGACGCTTAAAAAGAAATATGGACTTTATTTGAAGAAAAACAGCACTTGGAACCCACTGTGAATATAACAATAAACCATCCCTGGCTACAGCTTTGGGGAATTTTGGTTTTAAACAATTATTTCAAAAAGGCACAAAACAGTTAAGTTAGTTTTATTATTTATTTTTATTAAGAGGAAATCTGATAGAAAATCGAGCAATTTCAGTTTTAGTGGACAAAAATCTGGTACCAGAATAATTTCAAGTATTTTACAGGCCTTTTTACATTTTCTTAAAGCTAAAAATATAAATAGTTGCCTGAAATAACCGAAAACAATTTGCCATGGGAACAAGAGAAAATAAATTTCAAAGTTCAGAGAAATTGTGCAAACACAGGTAAAATTTCGTCCTCCGTTTCATTTCACTAGTACTTTCAAGTGTTTCGTGCAAAGTTCAACATTCATTTTTGACATTTGGTGTTGCTAGAAATGATTTTTTTTTTGAAAAGATATTTAAGACAGTCGTACAGAAGTTTGCAATATGATGTAAATAATCTTGGTACTAGGTTTTTGTCCACTTGTTACTCAAACTTCTGGTGGATTCCGTCTTAATAAGTTAAATCCCAGCTATTACTTTTGAGGAAACTTATTGATAAATATGCTCCTTTTTCTTTACATAATGGATAACAATTAAATTAATGATGTTGCCAAAGACAGTGGATGACAACAATAATGTTACTTGGTGACTTGTGAAACTTCCTTGTCATTTTAGCTCACCTTCGATTGACAGCAAGGCAAAACTAAAAAAATTATCATTGCATCATCACCTCTTCTGGGAGTTTTCATATTAAGTAGTACCTTTTGCTCAATAACATGTTCTCTGGTTATCCTGCTACGGTCAATTTTCTTTAAACCAAGTATCACGTAGACAGTCGATGATGAGTCCACGATGGGTTTTGCAACAGCATTGCAAGGATCAGGACACAAAGGATCAGGCGTAGCCAAGGTTGCATTTGGCAAAGGTGTGGAATCAACATCATTTCCAGAATTGCCTGGTACAAAACATGAGAAAAAAAGTATGCAAGTCCAAGTACTGTACTACTTATTATTGATATCTGATGCCAGAACTGTAAGATGCACTTGGGCAAACTAGTCAACACCTTTCCATTTCAAACCATTTACTTATGATTACTTCGACACTCAAATAAGGCTTAATTCATTATTCATTTTCACCATTCATTCTGATTTGCATCCATGCAGCATGCAGCATGCAGCATGCTTGTATACAAGCATGATTGTATCATAACAGTAATTCCCACCTGGTTTTGGCTTTTGTGTTACAGACATGTTATTTGGGGTCTTGGATCGATCTGTGACAAAATAAACAAATTAATAAAAGAAAACACTTTTACTGCAAGTAGACAACTCATCAAGTAAAGCTTGTCGAATAAAATTGATGACACTTCATCACTAGACTGATTGTTGAATATTTCTTTGAACTGGCTGCTTCAGAGGTACAGTGTACATCAAAACAATATCACCTTGTCCATGGGAGCCTTTTCTTACTAAACAGACTAATCCACATAAGAATTTTTCAAGAGCATTACCATAACATTTATGTAGATCACTCATCAGTCTAAGGATCTTGATATAACACTCACTTGGTTTTTGAGTAAGAGGTTTAGTTGGTTTCTTTGTGCTCTTTGTTTGAGGTCTACAAAGTAAATCAATTGAAATCATTAAAAAAAGACAGAGTTAAAAACTTAGTTATTAATTTATCAACAAAAAGAACTTTCTATTAATTTTTCCTGCATAGCATGGATATAAAACCACACATACACTGTATTAGTGAAAACATTGAACATGGAGTGCTGAAACTGCTATCTTAAGACTACAATCATGGACTTAAGTCTTGGGACAAATTTGCACTTTTGGCACTTTTGTGCACATGCCAGATGCAAATACAACTTCATCTGCCTAACCTCACCCCCCACCCCACATACAATGTTGAAAACTGGTACCTGCAATTTCACCTGATTTTCAACATTGTATTGGGTGGGGAGGGGGAACAGCAATGCATTTTAAAAGGATACAGCAGCTTTTTGTTTTCAAACTTCAGTTCTAGAACACACATATTAAATTCGTTACTTTACATAAGTGTCCCAAGGACTTTCGTCCATGATTGTAGGTTTATACTAGAGGAAATTGTCCCGGAGTCGTGAAGAATCCAGGACATTCTAGAACTGGTCAGGACTGGTTTTGCCGTTAACACACAAGAGGACGAATCCGAAATAAAAACTCCCTGGTTAGGTCATGTCTCTGAAGATTTTGAATCCAGAATTGAAAGTGAGAATTTTGAATCTGGACACCTTTGGATCCGGAGTGCTTTGTCATGTAAATGACTTTCTCTCGAATCCAGATGTTTTTCTACCTGCGATCTTTGAGTGTGTGGTAGAACCAAAATGGCGGATCTAGTAATGTAGTCACAGTCGTGGTCACATTGATGGCAGTCGCTGGTTGCCTCATTTCGTTACAGGTCTGGGGAATCACTTAAATGGGAAAACTGATACCACATTCCTCAGAAACCAAAATTATTGACGCAAACAACATTGATGGCCTTCCTACTTTATCAGAGAAGACGAAGATGTCATGACTGAAAACCATGACAGTTCTGGATACGACCAGAACAAATGCCTGGTGGGACTTGTAACATGATGGGCAATGGGTTTTACAGAGGACAGCAAAGAAATGTACCAAGAATTATTAACAATGCATGTGCACAGCCATTGTATAGTTCATTAAAACTTTTGTTTAGCAACGTTCCCATTGCTGTTGCCATTATGGTTTTCGTAAACTCCCTAATGACAGAAAAAAAGTAACCACAAGTTACCTACACAGTGCTGGAAATAATTTTCCTTCTTTAACAGGACATGTGTCCTTTCAAATCTTCATTTTGGTCGGACATCTTATCAATTTGACCGGACGATAATTTGCATTATTGATTAGCATAATTAATTAGCATAATAAAATTTATTGACATACTGTAAAGATTTTTAATACAAATCGTTCAAAACTGCATTTAAATTTGATTTATTTATCATTTATGATGATCATATGACTTAATCTACAAGATGACTGCACAGATCTCTCCTGGTTATCTCCTGATTATATGTTCTTCAAGCAAACCTGGTTTCCTATTGAATTTTACCATNCAAAATTTGGTCGGACAATGTCCGATGACCGACTGTTATTTCCAGCCCTGCTACAGTCACTGTAGGCAGTAACCACACTACAAACATGACTTACTTTAAAGAAGAGATCTTTTCTGAAGGTTGTGCTGGGCTAGATGACTTCCTTCTCTGTTGAGTAGTTGTCTTTTTAGTTGGAGCAGGTGTAGCTTTTGGAGTTTTTGGCCCCAGTATGTTTGTCTTGTGGTGTGACCCTGACTGTTCTACAGTTGCAGGTGATGGCGTAGGTGTTGATGTTGGTGTTTTAAGGACGTTGGATTCTTTACGTTTTTTTGTGGTAGGGGTTGACGCGGTTATAGGATCATCAACAAAATTTGACTGAATGTTCTTTGCAATCAGTTCTGGAGCTACATTATTCACGTTTAATGAGTCACTGCTCATGTTGTACTTGAGATCCAGCAGCTGCTGCAAATTGGTGCTTTCTTTGAAAAATGCAGGTGGTTTAGTAGACGGCTGGATTTGTACATCCAAGCCTATGGATGTTCCAAGCATGATGATAAACACTACCAGGACAACAAAACGATACTTCTGTATTGGAACAGCTAACCAGTGATACAAAACGGCCTGTAGTCCGCACCAGCAATGGGAGCTGCTGTGCTGGCGTTGCTGAGAAACTGCTGGTCTTGACTGTGATGCTCTGTTACGCATTAGCGGTACCTCTTGATCAAATGTACTGTTTGGATCATCATACATAGCCAAGTCAGTATCACTGGAACTCGGAGATGGGTTTTGTGAGGTAGGAGGACTGCTGTCCAATTGAACAAGCATTGAGTCATCATCATCTTGTGTTGGTCTTCTTATTGAAAGTTCCATCACTTCTGAAGAGGATGAGGTAGAGGAATGCTGTTCTGCAGGGTTCCTGTCATTCCCTGATAGAAACTGGACAATGTCATCTGTAAAACAGAGTCATAAGCAATTAAGAAAGAAGACTTGCAATAATTATTAAGGTGCACAGTCCAGAAAAGTTAGCTGAGGTTGTTAGTGAGCATGTTTAAGATGATATCTGCAGAACATTTGAGCAACAATGGCAAAAATTAAGTTACCAAAAAAACTTCATGGCATGGTAATATTTTGAATACAGTTTAGAAGAACTTTTCGAGACTTAAGCTCTCAAGCTGACCCCGCAAGAGAAAATTGAACTTGAAGTTATCCATATTTCAATTAAAATAGAAGTTTCACGTTAGTTAAAAACACAATAACCCACGCTTAAAGCATTCTTACGAGGTTTGACATTAACTTTCTCGACAATGCTTGGGAATTTAATCGTGGGGTCCCCTAGAGAAATGAACTCAAGTGAGTTGTTTTAAATAGTATTCCAAAAGTTACTGTGCTATGAGTAGATTTTTAGTAAATAATTTTTGTACTTATTGCTTGAACTTTGAGCGGAATCCGTCTTAATTTTTTTTAGCAGTTCTCTCTTCATCCTGTAACTCAAAAGCACCTTTTCAGAGTGCATACTTACCAGGCAGACCAGAACCTCCACTGCCAAAGATGCAACCCATCCACCCAAATAACAGCTGATATAGTAGTGCTTCCCACTTTGCAATGTAACGATGCCACAAATTAAGGGCAGGGGGGATGGTACAGAACACAGTCAACCAACAGCTGCCTACTATCAGTGCCATGAACAGGCCAAAGTCATGAATTGCAGGCATCTGTATGACACAACATCATAAAAAAAATGAAGTACAAAAATTATGGTAAACTTGGGTGAGTGGTTTCTGTCACATGAAATAACTACTCTCTTTCTTGATGGGTGCTCTTTATACCTCACTGAACCTTTTTGGTACACTTGTACAGCAGAATATCACACCAGTGTGGTTAAGCCTTGATTCATATTTTTGGCGAGTTTGGTGTTGCCAAAGTACCCAGCAGGGCCAAACAAGCCTGACATGCTATTAAAGCATACCTAATTATATAGCTGCATCAAAATCCAATATTGCCAACAGATCTATTTTTTATTAATTTTTGCCAACTGTCCAAATTTAAAAGAAATTGGATAGTTTTTGCTCAACGTTTAGTTTAGCTTTGAACAAACTGTCCAATTTGAGAAAAATCTGGATACCTTCCGTCAACCAATCAAATATCAAGATAAATAAACGAACCAAGTATTGGCCAATCAGGTTGCAGCTATTATCACTGCCATCAAACGTCAGCCAACGATGGTAGCTTGCTAAGGTTTATTATATTTTGATAATGGTGGAATTTCCCGACTTTTCAAACTTTCAATTGGAGTCTTCAGCTAGGTTTGCAGAGATAGATGGTACTGATTTACTCGAGATGAGGGACAAAAATCACAACTAGAATGCTCAAAGAAGCACAAAAACCTGGGTTAAAGTGCTTAACCTGAGGCGTACTGAGCGAAGCGAAGTGAGAAAGGTTGAGGAGATATTCCCGAAGACGAGCTTGACCACGTTCTTTGCCAATTTTATGTAGAGTTAAGACAGCAAAATGGAGATGAATACGAACCAGATAGCCTTGTTGTTATGCAAGGCTCCTCAGATGGCCATCTAAAATACAACGGCAAGAGTTAAAGCATACTACGAGTCCGAAAGTTCGCCATGTTCATCTGTTTTTGGATGCTATATAATTAATAGGTAACAGGACTACATGCTTGTCCAATTTGAAAATAATTGGCCAGCATGTAGTCCTATTACATATACAAATAGGTGTGATTACATGTAGCTACTTTGGCCAAAACTCTGCCCACAGTGATATTGAAGAATATCAGGACATTTAACAAGACTTCTGATTTTACATAGCGTACAGTGAATAACGAAACAGCTACAATGATACATACATCCATACATACTTTATTGGCTCATCCCCACTGGGCTTTTCAGAAACAAAGCTACTTGGGTAGGCCTCACTTATCACTTATAGTGTCTCTCTTGGAACAGACCTGTCTTTGCTAATTTATTTTACCTACAGTAACTAATAATATAATATCTTTGTTTCCAACCTTACCTGAGAAAGGCAGTTGGCAGCAAATGCAACAGATGTAGTAAACGACGTGAAGAACGTCGCTTTACCAGCAGTGCTGATGGAATGAAGCATGCGAGCTTCCAGACTTCTAGCACTGTGTGCTTGACGAAAAGTGTTAATGAAGACAAACACATCATCCACCCCAATACCAATAATGATGAAAAGTGAAATGCCACTGAGAATCCCAAGACTCTTCACCTTGACTACAATGCGGAATAGGTAGTAAGCCAAGCATAGGGATGTTGCAATACTGATGATACCAAAAATAGTCAGGAAAAGGGAGAAACGTGTGAATATGAATACAAATGCTGCAACAAAAAGAATCGTGAAGAGTGCCAGTGTGATGTCTGCCCACAATGTTTTATCCACCTCATAATCAAAGATTGTGCTTCCACCATACAATAATCGCACTTTGCTGTTGATAAAAACAGACAAGACAGTTTACTCACAGATGGGTCAGGTTTAAGACAGTTCATTTGAAACAAAACAATTAACCCACAGAACGGTTACTTGAAAAACAGTTCATTTGAAACACTAACCGGACCTAAATCGGTAAGCCATGGTTCTGTACATGGGTGGAGTAACTTAAATTCTCTAACAGCACATAGTCTTGTAGATCTTTTCCTAATTTGTATGCCTGCTTAGAACAAGTGCGGATGAATAATTGAAAGGGAAAATTGTCAGATCTTGCCAAAAAAGCTGTCTTTACTCAAAGTTCACTGTTTGCAGCAGAGAACTTCCGGACAGATGGTTTTTGTTTCATTGTTCATCATTTATGTTGATATCTTCATCTGTGTCCCCTCCTAGTCCTGTTTGGTAACTGACTATCATACAACTTGATCTTGCTAAATTTATCCCACTCATGTTATATCACATCATGGGACGTCCTTTAGACTTAACTCAATAACCCCATTACACATATGCTCACCACAATGAGAAATCAATTAACATTACAAATGGCTAGAAATAATTGAAGGGGTGAGTGCAAAACCATGCTAAGTGACGATTTGGGTGAAAAAAAAA